AGAGTCTCTATTTCACGAAAAGAGTCAAGTTCGTGAAATTTTATTGATAATTTTCATTTTCGGTCCTGACACTGACTATTCAGAAGCATGGTACCCGAATAATCCATGCAACGAAACAAAAAATCAGTAGCGAAAAGTGAAACGAAGATTAAAATTTATATACTTTCTTCATGTATACCACCCAACTAGATATTAAAGAATTTTATTGCTCTAGCAATCGTTATATAGAAATTAAATTCACCAAGAACTATTTGTTGAAATTTTGAATGCTTTAAAGTTTATTCAATTCCACTAAATTGTTAACAAATAACTTAATTTATGAGAAAGCTCTTTGGTTAATCTAAATTTCTATTGCTTATCTTCGTGAAGGAAAACGTTAGTACTAAAAGTGTTAACCTCTGTGAAATAGGGGCACATACTTTACGACGTTGTGGTTAATTTTGTGTGTTGTTTGGGAGTAAAATGCAATCAACCTAACACCTGAAACTCTGAGTAGCATACCTTTAGTCCATTCACTACTAGTATGTAGAATCACAGAAAAATGAAAGTGAGGTTTGAAAACCTCTAAGTAATGTAAGTAAGATAATGTAGCAATATAAGTTTAATTGATAGTATCCATGTTCAATAGGTCTTATATACGAGTGGTCTAGAGTATTCACACATTACTTTGTGTAAGAAGTTACTATCCATTTGATCAAAAGAATCCATGTAATTTAAGAAATTTTTATAGTTGTTTTACAATGGTTGATTTAGTTTGATTTAAGTAGCATTGAACTTCTAGTTTTCCAAACTCATTTTAATTCTTCATTTCTCATTTAGCTACTTAGTAATATAGAGTAGTTTGATTATTTTAAGTAAATAATTCTAACGACGGTTGTTGGTGTATTGTGACAATTGTGTTGATTAAATATCTGACTTGGATAATGGACGAAGTCAAGTTAACTGATCTAATCAGTCTTCGAAAATCCCTCACTTCATGAGTAGGTAGTAGTGATCCTACAAAGGTAACTTGTGCGTGACCAAACAAACAATCGATTTTCCAAAATAATAACTAATGTAGAGGCTGTGTATCATTGACACTAAAGGTCAATTGCCTTTCTGTGCTTTTTATTCTGATTAATAATGGGAATAATTAAATGACCCGCTGTTTAAGCTCTACAATTTAAAATACTTCTTGGAGATGACTGATTGTCAGTGCATATGACACACATGGTTTATGCACAAACACATGATACAAGAAAGTTTTGAGGTTACGACGTATATTGATGTTTAGTTTTTGTAGTATGGAAGTGAAATAAGTTCTTTGTAAGCCATAACGGCGTTCAGTATTATCAACAAAAGTGTACAAAATAACTCAAAGAGGAATATTAGTTTACAGCTAATATTTTTGATCAATTAGGTAGTGAAACAATTCATTTCCAAACAAACACATAATTTTCACATGTTTGAACCATGGGGAATTCAGTAAGTCTGTCAAATTGTCGTCTAGATAATCTATTGTGGCGTTAAACTTTTTTTATCGTCAATTTCCCTTATATCTCCGTCTTGATGATCGCTGCGAGAGAACATGAGTCGTTTCCACAATCTCTTTCTTATTCAAATTATTTTATGATCGAGACAAATAAAGGATTTAATTCAAATATGTATAGTCGATATTGACATCGAATTATTTAAACTGTTAAATAGTTAAATACTTAAATAACTATATGTGTAGGTGGCAAGTAATGCCCAAGCGTACATGCGCATACAAGTTCAACAATGATAAAAGTACAAGATATATGTGAGGTGCTACAAATCTTTTGTGAATTGTGATTCCAAAGATAGTGGTCATTGACAACTGTGGTCGTCATTGACCCAATTTATCAACCAATCAGGAAAATCATAGGTAACATAGGATCAAGAAACCAATCAAAAGGGGGATACAATGAAAACAACGACAGGTTTAAGGTCAACAGCAACCAATCAAGATCGAGGTAAGCAGAACAAGCTACAGGTCAAACGTGGAGAAATCCGAATACTCTTCACTTCACCTATCTGAAGTTTGTGCTGATTGATGATGTTGTTCAGAAGAATAATGATGAAAGCTCCACAACCAAAACATATCCAGCTCAGAGAACCAAACACCACCACCAAAATATGCTATATTCATTACTAATGATTACAAATGAATTCCAAATATATAGATTGTACGGTGAAAGTTTCGTTCTACTTGAGACGCATCAGTTGAATCATATTTGAATAAACGTATTGATATTCACGTTATAGTCATATGAGTTCTGTAATCTTCACTTCACTTCTGCTATCTGAAGTTTGTGCTGATGATGATGTTGTTGTTCAGCAGAAGAACAATGATGAGAGCTCCACAACCAACTAAACATCCAGCTCAGAGAACCAAACACCACCACCACCACCACAATCATCCACCTGAGCTATAAATCTTTTCCACCATGTCGTTGACAATTTATCAATTGGATAATTATTTGTTTGAGTTCAATTTCTCGATTGTGGGAGTTTTATAAATCATTTATTATATATATGTATTATTATCTAAGACCGGAAATAAAGTCTGATTTCTGAAGCATGTGAAATTTTATTTATGACGATTCTGAATAGATTGTTTGACGTAAGTAACTGTCCATTTCTACTGGTCTAATGTTTTTTTTTTCTGATTATAGATCTACATAAATTCACTAATAAACAGATGATTTATTAATTTGAGCTTTTGAATTTTCAATGATGTTTATGATACTTTATCTCATGACATCTATTTTAACAATTCAGATCGATATTTTATAAGCTGTAATTAATCATAGTTGCTATTTTTGCTTGTGCCTGTTCAAAGTTCAGATATGTACGTAATGCATAGTTAACATTTTCTTCAGTTTATTATTATTTCTGGTTATTTGAAATAATTTCACAGGTTGTAATGTAACTTGATGCTTTCAACTGCTTGTAAAAGGTAATGTACTTTGTGATTTACGCCATTTTCGGGAAGAGTTTGGGAGGTTTGTGTTTTAACACATTTGAAATCATCAGTCGATCATTGTTAGACCACCATTAGAAACATGGAAGCAGCGCACAGCCGTTTCGTCCTGGTTTGGGACTCATCACCGCCTGCACCTCGCAGGATTCGAACTCGGGAACTCCGGTATTGTAAGCGAACGCCTAACCATCGCACCACTGGATCGGCATCCAACGGTATTAATGTCTAACTCTGATTGATCTAGGGATTTGGCGTGACCTCACCCTTTGGTCTTTGGAAGTTACTGCCTACACCCGACATGGTTGAACTCCATTGGTCACGTCTTCTCAACCGGAACTCCGAGAATTTCCTCACGAAGCTAGTCACTAGTGAGCACTGTTACGATATTTACGTTATGTCATTTTCTTCATCAGTGAGAGCTAATGTTTACAGTCCAGGTTGCGGTGTCCTTTAATTTGAAACTGGAATAGAAATCTATTGTATAATTAGTCCATAAACCAAGAATTCACGTGGTTATTTTAACTGTGAACAACTACTGCATCTTATTTGAACATCCCCTGATAATTGTTCTGTATCGTGTTAGTGAAACAAGGAAATCAATTCATAGTTTTCAGAACAATGAGTTCCTTGTAAATCTGACTTCATTGACGCACAAATTACCTGCCAGACGCCTACAACTGATAACAATAAGATGACCTAGTTAAAGTAATCACTTTATCAAGTGACATTATTTCCGAATCTTCTCAAGTTATAATACAACGTCCCTGGCAAAAACGCAAACTTTAATCAACAAGAAAGACTACTGGATGTTAAGCAGTTTATATTATGCATGAAATTAAAATATTCTTCTTTTTACAGTATACTACGCTGCTATGACAATAAGAAAATGTGACTGCTCTAGGTGATTGACTTCATGAAACCGCTAGACTGAATACTCGAATGAGCCTCTATACATAAACTCGATCAAGTTATGCCAGATACTAGTTTACGATGAAGACAGAGAACCTAAGTAATTATAGACCGCTGTTTATCTCAAACACAATCACTCTCAGTGCATCTGAGGTGGAAATCAATAAGAAGGTAGGAAATCACATATTTTATCGATAGTAGGTCAACTGACTGTTTGTCTACATTCATTGGCCAATCACATTTACTTTCACTACCACATATTAACAGCTTTATGCTCTATTCGGACGAAGATTACAGAAATGGTAACTTTCAAGACTACCTTATGGACAATTATTATCATTATTATTCTATATCTTCTCATTTTATAATTACTAAGTAACTAGATTAATACATATTTACCACTTCTACTACTATAAAATTTGAAGTGACAATTGCATCTATGTGCTTATGTGGTATGGCAACATGAACTGATGTACGTACGTACGAAGTTCTATGTTGTTGTTAACTGACTGACATATTTATATTCCATTTTTCATGAGCACTTAAATAACTCATTAACAAAATTTTTATCATTTACTATTCCTAAATTCACTGACTTTCATAATGATAGTCACATTTTACTTGCTCATGTACAAATGTATTTACTTATTCCACGGTGAGATATGGTCTGATATGTTTTCTATATAAACTATATCTGTTTGAATGAAAACTTATTTTATGAAGAAAGAAACTCTGGACTAAGAGTGAGTGAGTGGTAGAAAGAAAGGATTTGGAGCTAATTCACTTTTTTCTGATGCTAAACCGTAATTCTGATTGTTGTTTGTTTTGAATTTGTCACGTGACATCGGTTAATTGTGTAAGGATAAAATACTTGGTACTATTTCATACCGTAACAAGAAAAAGAGATGATAAGATTTGTAAAGTATTTGAAAAATAGATCAGAGACTGTGTTGCTCTGATAAGCTCGTCAATTGATATGCTTGAAACTACTATTACGAGTTCACCTTACTCAGTAAACGAGAGCGAAGACAAATGATGCAGTGATACGATAGGCTATTCTAATCTGTTTGTCCTTGGCCGAGCTAACTATATCAAGAAGTCTCTTGATAAGACGTAGAAAGTGTATTCTACAAGCAACCAGAAAATACGAGGTTGACAAGCACACAAATCGAGTTTATTTATGCATGATAGCGTACTAAGATTTTCACAGCTATTTTTCATGGTCTACAATTGTAAATCAGGCTACTGAATTACATAACAGAATGTAGTTTAAATTTCAAGTTTAATAGGATAATCATCTAGACAGCACTTTATTGTCATCACATGCAGAAACTAGACAATACACATCTGCTCAAAAAGTCGAAATTTACTCATAGTCAATACAGTCAAGAAAAAAGTAAGATATTATTTGTAATATTGGATATTTTAATAAGATTAACAAGCTTACTTTATCAGGACTGATATTTTTTTCACGTGTGGAAATTGTAGGCTTTACAAAATGTTCAAATAATCTTAATTTTCAATGCATCACTATAAAAATGCAATGATATTGTAAATGGTTTTTTTATTGGTTCTAGGTAACAGCACACTTTATTGAGTTGCAGTCTCATTGTTTTCTGAAGAATCGGTCGAAGTCACATTGCTAATGCCTTCGGTGATATTCACATGGCCAATGCTTTCGGTATTATTAGCTTCAGTCACAGTCACATTCTCAGTTGTCGGTTGACAGTGAAAAAACCAACAGTATTTACTACAACACTCTGAGTGCCGTATACAAAATGTTTTTGCCCCGAGGCATTTAACACATGTTCCACTAAAGAACCCATTACAAACTAAACCGTCACAACAATAACGAAATAAAATCCGGCTGCACGTATGATTTCCACTTGTACAGTTATTTTTTTGTTCAAGCGTTGTTTCTAGCAATGAAAAGAAAATATGTAAAAACCATTTCATTTCGAACAAAAATACCAACAATAATAATGCATGATACGTATATGTTGTTGCAGAAACTCCGTCTTTCAATCGTTGATCAGTACTTTTTTTTCTAATATTTTAAACCGACATTCAATAAATTACGGAGTTTATTAAAAGAAAAACGGTTTAGTTTAGTAACAACTACATGAAATGTGTAAAAACGCGAACCTCCAAAATATCGTAACAGTGCTCACTATTGACTAGCTTCGTGAGGAAATTCTCGGAGTTCTAGTTGGGAAGACGTGACCAATCGAGTTCAACCCTGTTGGGTGTAGGCAGTAACTACCAAAGACAAATGGGTGAGGTCGCGCAAAATCACTAGTAGATCAATCAGAGTTAGACATTAACACCGTTGGATGCCGACCCAGTGGTGCGATGGTTAGGCGTTCGCGCAGAACACTGAAGGTCTCGGGTTAGAATCCTGCGAGGTGCAGGAGTGGTGGATGCGCACTGCTGATGAGTCCCATACCAGGACGAAACGGCCGTCCAGTGCTTCCATGTTTCTAATGGTGATCTAACAATGATTGATTGATGATTTCAAATGATGAATTTCATTGAAATGGTATGAAGTAGTTGTGTAATGTGAGGTAATAAATTTCATGTTCAGTTAGTTGACCGATAGATATTCAATATTCAATAGTACTGTAACGCATTCGAAACCTAATTCAATCAATTCTTAGTTTCGTTTATTAGTTTGTTTTAATCTCTCTCACGTTGGCTTTATATCTGGTTGCTGTCTATTTATTCGTATATTGCAAGTAAGTGCATCATTCTATGTGCTTACTGAGTCGTCATTTCATCTTTTTCTCTTGTTCTTTCTTCTTCTTCCAGATAATCTCATACGCCGCTGATCACACATCCCCCCCTAGTACACAAGGTACCTCCTGGCTAGACGCATAACCAACCAAAGGTTGAAGTTACAGTACTATTATTATACTCATAAAAACTATACCTGAACATAATATATATATCAATGTCTATTTGCTATATCTATTTGACAAGTTCCTCTACACCTGTCATAAAACTAAATCTTATACAGATATAATGTTGAACATACCTTCATCTTCTGTATTCGATAAAACACAAGTTTGAAATACAAGTATGATGCACAAAGTAATGAATTGAATACATCTATGCATTGTAATATATATGTTTATAACAATTTAAATTTATCAACATTTCATGATTAAAATTGTAATTTATATACACGTTTAATACATGTTTTTTCTATTGTTATTTAAATAATATGAATCTAATCATGTTTAAGCTTGATTTCGCCTCATACATGATAAGTTTTTGTGATTAGTTGAAGAAAATTAACCAGAATTCGATGAAATGATACAAATGTGCAACTACTTGCCAAACTGATTGTCACTTATGATGAACTATAGTGTCAACAAATGTTTATCTCAAACATCAATGAATACATTATTTAAGTGTGAAATTTATGTATCATGCTGGTAATTCATTTCAATGCAAAGATAATTTCTGTTGATATCATATCCAACTTGGCTGTGTTATCATGTCACAAGAAAGAACATGTTAATATGCTCTAAAGAATCTATGTTATTGCGTTACTACCTACAAGTAACAGTCTTCCTGAGAGAAACAATGAGGTTGATCATACAGAGAATAGTTAGTAGAAATGTTTACTACAGCTATGCTTAGAACTAATCAATGGTGTTCGTGTTGTGGATGTTAGATCCTCAGAAGTCGCTTGATAAATGCCTTAGCTATGGATTTCATGTTTGCGAGCATGGGCTGATCAGTTGACCTGGAGATTTCATTTCCCACCAGCAAAATACATGGCTGTGATTGACTGCTGTGTATTTTAGTGTGCTATTTTTGTGACTATCCCAAGAACGTTTTTATGATGTATAAATAAACGAGATTTGTGTGCTTGATTGCATTGTGTTTGCTGAGTGTTTGTCGAATATACTTTCTACGCTATATCAAGACTTCTCTTTAGCCGTTTCAGATCAAGGTAGTCTACCTAGACTCTGGTTCATTGTCTCGTTCTCGTTTATCGACTAAAGTGAACTCGTAATAGTTTCAAGCGTACCTAGTGACGAACTTAACAGTTCGAAAGGTTTAAGGCTCAGTTTGATGGAGCTCTGCATGATAATATTGTCACCATTAGCAGAATATCATCATTGAGTTAATGATTAGTTCATTTGAGTAAAAAAAAATTAGTATTCCACAATGTTAATCGTTCTTTTAATTCAAGATTTTGATGATATGCTTTTAAAATGGATCATTTATTCTGGTTTTAACCAATAGAAGTTTAAATATAGTATGTTATGTTCGTCACTAATTATGCTTGAGGCTATTACGAGTTTACCTTAGTCGATAAACGCGAACGAGACAATTACCACCGTCCAGATAGGCTACCTTGAATCCCAAGCTGAAATAAGAAGGCTTTGTAAGCGTAGAAAGTATATTCTACAAACACTCAGCAATCACAGTACAATCAAGCAAACAACTCTCGTTTATTTATACATCATAAAAACGTCCTTGGGACAGTTAAGAAAATAGCACACTAAAATATACAGCAGCCAATCACAGTCATGGATTTTCCTGGTGGGAATTGAAATCTCAAGGTCAACTGATCAACCCATGCTGGCAAACGTGAAATCCGAAATAAGGCGTTTAACAAGCGAATTTTGGGGATCTAACATCCCCAACAGTGGATTTAAAATGATTAGGATATTGCGGGTTATATGAAAAAAAACAATTATAGTGCTTTTGAAAGGCAACACAGAGATCACCAACCAAAACATACTTAATGTAGAACCTCTGGAATAGGTGGAAACTTTTACGTATCTATATAGCACCATTGATGCAGATACGAAGGCGAGGATTGATAAAGCAAGTGAAGCATTTCTGCAATTGAAGAATGTCTATAAGGTAAAACTGTAAAGTCAGAGCCCTGTTTTATGGAGCTAAGAATTGTAGGGCTACAAAACGTCATTATCAGAAAGATATAGGTATTCATAAACAGTTCACCGAACACCATCAGCAACAACCTGTTGTATTAGACAACAAACCAGCTTCCAGATTAAGCGGGAATTAGGAAGAAATGCCGGCGGTGGACAGGACAGATATTACGGAAATCAACAAATTGCATCACATGACAAAATCTAATTTGAAATCGTGAAGGGGAAACGGAGAGTAGAAGGCTGAAAGACACATAGAGAAGGCAGTTGAAAGAGGATATCACAAAATGGATAGCATTTGTGAATAACTGAGAAGGAGAGGTGAGAACAGAGTTGGTTAAGGAATCCAGGTTGTCAGCCTATGCTCCACGATGAGTAACAAGTGTAAATAGGTAAGTATTGTGTATGTTCTTGTAAATATTATATAGGTGAAACTAGAGTGTATAGACGAGTTGTACTTAATAGTACAAAGTTGTTGGCCCATTAGAATGTAGATGACATGAATCATTTTTTTACCAAAAATCAATGAAAGCTAAAAGCTATATAAAACATTTGTTAAGAGAATTATAAAGATTCGATTTAGGAATTGTACGATCCAAACTGAGGTTTGGACTGAAGTGAAACTGTATACTTAGTTTAGATACAAGCAATTGCCCAGTTGAAATCAAAACAAAGTGATTTGGTAAATGACGGTTCTAATATTTATCATAAATATAAATTTACATCATTACCTAAACAAATATTACCACTCAGTTATATCACCAACAAATGTTCAGTTAATCAGATCGATAGCAACAGATAAATGTTATTCTATCCTTTCTGGATAGAATAGATCAAATTCGTTCGACAGATAATATTTGGTTGCTTTATAACACAGAGTGCTTCTTATTCTAGAGGGGTGTTTCAATTGACAATCAAAATGCACTATTTCAGTCACCGACACAATCAAAATAGGAACAAATTAATATGGCTGTCGTTATGACTAAGTATCAGTTTAAATAACATCAATGCAGTTCAGAAAGTAGCGTAGAAACTCAGTAAAGGCAGAAGAAATAGAAACTATAATAAAATACAAATATTATAATCATCATCTCAAAATGGAATCGAACAGACTAACAAAATGTACAACTGAAGGAATAAATAAGGACAAATTACAAATGTATACACGAAGGGATTTTCACAAATAAAGCCTTCAAAAATTGATCTTACAAGAATTTGAACAATGAAGATCGACTAAATATCTTTTTTTAATGCATGTTTACAAGCGTAACACATAATTATTAGCAAGAAAGAGAAAATGTGGTGGTGTTTCGTTCTCTGAGCTGGTTGCCTTTTGATCAAAAGGCAACAGTAACCAATCAAGATCGAGGTTAGCAGAACAAGCTACAGGTCAAACATGGAGAAATTCGAATGTTTCACTTCGCCTATCTGAAGTTTGTGCTGATGATGTTGTTCAGAAGAACAATGAAAGCTCCACAACCAAAACAACCAGCTCGGAGAACGAAACACCACTATCACAATCATCCACCTGAGCTACAAGTTTTCTCCACCATCTCAAGAGATAATGTTTCAGATTGAGAGAACTAGTCAATGCATAAAATGTAATAATTTGTTACTAAATCCACTTTTACACATGATCTGAGCATTCACTTTTAATAATACTCGAAATCCAGACACACCTAATATAATAACTAGCTTGTAGAAAGTTCACATAAGAAATGAATATGAATGTGCAACATAGACACTTTGTTACACAAACGACCAAAAGATTTACTAACCATACATTCAAACACATACTAATTTACTCAGAATGAACCTGACAGTCAATCACCACCAATGGCATTAAAATGTATTGTGATATGATGTTTATATCTACTGTCTAATTGATTTAGTTATTAAACTTTGCTACTGCAGAATATAACTTGTTCTCTTAATAGTTAACTTACACTTACAAAATTCGTTTGTCTACCAATTAGAATGACAATATTCATACATTATTACAAACAAACTAATCAAAATTCAATATTTTTTTTTGAAAATAATCATGTAAGATTTTGGCTAATAATCTAGCAATTGTTTATATGACAACAATAGCTAGAGTATTTGCTTGTTCAGATGTAAAATCTTGTGTAAACAAGTAATTGTCTAGTCTAGAGTAGTTTGGTTACTCACTTATACATAAACATAGTCGTATAATTATCATTTGTATCAAACATGAATGGTTATAGCAAAAAGGATTTAGTAAATGCTAATTGAAAGAACAGTTATTCATATATAAAACACTCTTAATGTTTACCATTATGCCAAATTTACTCGGCTTACTCAAAGGTTTTGAATAAGCCAATCAATATACTCTTCTCAAGTCGTAATTCAAACATGTTTTGATTTTGTAATTTACTCTCTTGTAACGTTAGTTGTGTTTTACTTGTCTCGGCTTATTCATTGGTTACTTTGTTTGTCACATGTCTAGTTTGTTTTTGTCTGTCTATAAATACCCAGTCATGTCGCATCGAATTGCTTCACTTCTATACTTCATATATTCATGTCCATCTGCGTATGCGTGTGTATGAAATGAATTGGTCGGACTAAAACTGTATGTTGAGGACGTTAGAACCTTAGAACTCACTTAAAAAAGGTCCTAATTTTGGTTTTTTATGTTTTCGAGCATGGGCTGATCAGTTGACCTTGAGATTATATTGCCCGCCCGGAAATCCTTGACTACCATTGGTTGATGGAATATTTCAGTACGCTATTTTGTAGCTCTTTCAAAAGGCGTTTTTATGATGTATATACAAACATGATTTGTGTGCTTGTGAACCTCATTTTTTCTGGGTACATGTAGAATACACTTTCGACGCCAATTCAAGACTTCTTCCTCAACTTAGTGGGGACTTGGGACGCTCGGATTAGAGTAGCCTATCGTGTTACTGGATCTTTCGTCTTCGCTCTCATTTACCGACTAAGGTGAACTCGTAATAGCATTCAAGCATATCAGTTGGTGAGCTTATCACTGTATTAGGCTTCTCACTGATGACATCACACGAACGGGGTGCGTTTAAGAATAGTATACAGAAAGTAAATGAAAGATTTATTTCATTAGCACAAATAATCCTTCGTCTTCATTACAGCTAGATCCCAGATCCCATATTCAAAAGAACTGGAAGAATCCAATTACTTGCTTTGAACATAGTTCAACAGTCGTGATCCTAGTTTGGTTGTATTCTTCATACTTTTAATATTGTAAAAACATTAGTCTAATTTGTAACA